CCCAATACCCCTATAAAATTATAAACCCTCTCATAAACCCTTAGACACAGCTAATCGAAGAACAAACGCAAATATACCACAAGCACAAATTTCTTACCTAGGGCAACATTGGAAAAAAAAAAAAATCAATCTCACAAGAACAAATTGCAAATTACCTGGTCACCATTGTTGCGAATAAGGTAATCCATGTCTGCTGAGCGCAAGATAGAACTGAGATCGTATTTGGCTTCTTCATTAATCCCCTCGACGCTCCCATTAGATGGGCTTGCCATTAAGCACAACAGAAATCTTAATATAAACAAAAGATGAAAGAAAACACGAATCTTGATTTAGGGAGAGAGTTACAAGGAAGTAAACATGGAAGTGAATTCTTCATAAAGGGCTATTTATATTAGAAAGGGGCTTAAGAAATTGGGTTGATTTTGTTTTCTTGGGGAGCAATTAAACTAATGGAAGTCAAGAAAAGTGGCCGCCATTCTATAAGATGCTTTGCTTAATGTTTAAATCTTGAGGATGGAGAATGGTGATCTGAGCTTTGAAATGTGAATTGATATTATGCTGATAAATATGGGACTTGGCAATTTTACTTATTTTTTTGAAAAAAAAAACTTAGCAAATATAAGATGCTTTAAATTTCTTTGTGTTCCTATGTGAGAATCTCTCATATATATTCTTTTTATTTGTTATTTTGACTTTGTTGATCATTAATCAAATAAATGACGTTTTGAATATTTTATACATATTTTTTCATTATTATCTTTATTTAATTGATAAACTACACGTTTGAGATGAAAATTGTGGAAAACAATGAGTTCTCTCTTAAAAGAACATAGAAAAAGCTGAAAAGAAAAATTATTTAATATTAATGTATTTTACATTTATAATTATTTAATGTTATTTTATTTTACATTTAAAATTATTTTACATAGAAAAGACTAATATTGTTGACAAGAAAAAATTTCTTACACTTAAAAAAAAAAAAAAAATAGAAGGTAGTAGTAACTTTTAAATAATTAATAAATGGTAAAATTATAAAAGATATGCAGTAATAGTTGAGTCATCAGTGTTATTTTATAATAATAATAATAATAATAATAATAATAATAATAATAATAATAATAATAATAATAATAATAATAATAATAATAATAAGCAAATGAACAAAGTTTTTATAGAGAATATTTAATGTTTAGTGTAAATTTTATCAATTTGTCCACTTTAATGAAAATGAATTTTTTCAATTGTACACTGGAGCCCTTGAGGGTTTTTAATGGTAACCCGAATGCTAAATATTCCTTGCATGCCACCAAAATTTTTTGTTCTTTTTCTTTTTATTTTTATTTATTTATTTATTTATTTTGGTTTAATATTATGAATTTTGGTTTCATAATCTTAAATGTTAAAGGCATTCCTATTCCCACTAGAAAGGAAGTGACTCTATATAAGCAGAAAATAAATAAAGTACTCATATAAAGTAAAATTTGTATATTCGATGGAGAAAGCTTTAGCAAAGTATTTCGAATGATTTTGTTTTGTTTCTATTATTTTTTCCTTACCCTTTTCATTTAATATCACCACAATTAGTAACTCAACAGCAACTTATTCTAACTGCACCTGCATTTTTATAAAGTATAAAGTAGCATAATGAAGAACTATAAAGGTGCTGTAAACTTTAAACATTCAAGTCAAATGGATCGATATATAGTATATATCTATAGATCATTGTAAATGTTCTGCATATATGTAACAGAATATTGAACTTATTCATTAGTTGTTTATAATCAAAGGCATTATAACAAGGGAATTAAAATGTTGGATCACTAGGAAACTGACGAATCAAAGAAATCAATCAAAGAAAGAATCAAGATTATTTGTCTTCAAGCAAGTATAGTGATTTATGTAATATATAACATCTTCATTATTAGCAAGTAACCCACTTCCAGAAGCTCTACTTCGAGTCATCTATAGTACAGTAGCGCAAAACCCTTCTTCGCCGTTCGGCTTTCTCACCCTCGGTTTTTCCTGGTTGCTCGGGTTTCGGGTTTGGCATTGATGGAGGAGTTACATTTTTTGTATCGGGTCCTTTCGGCTCGTCTTTCCCTTTCGATGGTGGCGGAGAATGAGTCTCGGGCTTTTCGGGTTTTGCGTTTGGTCCATTTGGCTCGTTTTTCCCTGTTGATGGTGGCGGAGAATGAGTCTTGGGCTTTTCGGGTTTTGTGTTTGGAATTGATGGAGGAGTTGCGTGTTTTGTATCATGAACTTCCGGCTCGTCTTTCGCCTTAGATGGTGGTGGAGAATGAGTCTTGGGCTTTTCGGAGATTTGCTTTGATGGGGATGGAACAATTTTAACATTGGTGTTTGGTTTTTCTTTTGCTGGTTGTGGCGATTTAGTATCAGGTTTTGAGGGTTTTGGCTGTGTGGGTGCTGGTGCATGCTTGACATCATGTGCTCCGGGTTTTTGGTTGTCTATTTTAGTTTGCTCGGGTTTTCCCTTTGTTGGCACAGGGGCATGTTTGTTTTTGCCTTTCTCAGGATTCTTTTCGGCTGCTTGTGGCGATTTGACATCGGATTTTGAGGATTTTGGTTGTGTGGGTGCTGGTGCATGCTTGATATCATGTGCTCCGGGTTTTTGGTTGTCTACTTTAGGTTTCTCGGATTTCCCCTTTGTCGGAACAGGGGCATGTTTGTTTTCGCCTTTTCCAGGATTCTTTTCGGCTGATTGTGGCGATTTGGCACCAGATTCTGAGGGTTTAGGTTGTGTGGGTGTTGGTGCATGCTTGATATCATGTGCTCCGGGTTTTTCATTGTCTACTTTAGTTTTATTGGCTTTTCCCTTTGTCGGTACAGGGGCATGCTTGTTTTCACCTTTTCCAGGATCCTTTTCGGCTGATTGTGGCGATTTGGCACCAGATTCTGAGGGCTTAGGTTGTGTGGGTGTTGGTGCATGCTTGATATCATGTGCTCCGGGTTTATGGTTGTTTATTTTAGTTTGCTCGGGTTTTCCCTTTGTCGGCACAGGGGCATGTTTGTTTTCGCCTCTTCCAGGTTTCTCTTTCGCTGATTGTGGCGATTTATCGCTCGTTTTTGAGAATTTGGGTTGTGTAGGCGTTGCTGCATGTTTACCATTATGTTCTCCAGGTTGAGGCGCGTGTTTAACTTCACGATGTTTAACGTTTGCCGGAGCAGAAGCAACATTGTTAGTTTTCTCGTGTTCCTGTGGTTTCTGCTTTCCTGGTGTTGGAACATTCGCTTTTCCCGGTCCCTTAGTTTCTGAGTCCCCTTTGTTGGGTTGCTCGGGTTTATGTCCCGGTGTCGGTTTTGCTTTCGTAGGTGCCGGCGCTAATTTACCGTTCGGTTTCTCAACGGCAGTACCGTTTTGTTTCTCGTACACCGGCTTTTCTGCATCTGGCGAGTAATCCCATTCTCCCGAGTCGTCAACGTTCGGATTTTCCTTCGGTTCAGGAGGAGAATCTTCGCCGTTTTCGCAAAACCGATCCTTGTCGTGCTCGAGATCGTAATTCTCCCACCTCTCGTGATCGACGAGCCTAATCTGCACGCCACCATCGTCGAGAATTCTCCACTTGCATTCGCGCTTGCACTTCTTCTTGGGAAACGCGTGGAAATATCCCTCGTCCGAGTAGGTTAACCCGTCGAGATAAACGTGGCAAATCGTTTTGGCCGCGTCTTTCTTAGAAAGCTCCCACCGGACCTCGCCGCCCGGTTTCAGAACTTCGTTTAGATTCTTGTCGCCGTACGAGCAGTCGACTGTCGAGTCTCGTTTCGCCGTGTTGGTGATGGAGACATATTTCTTCTTCTCTTGTGATGTTTTTGCAGCGGATAAGTTTGTGGTGGCTGAAAATAGGGCAATGAGGGAAAAGAAGAGAAGAGGATTCATTTTTTTTATTTATTTATTTTTTTTTTGGTGGTGAAGAAGAATTGGTCTCAAACAATGTTGTATTTTATAGGATGAAAAAGGGATAACAAAGATGTAACTGTGGCTAATTAAGACATTAATATATGTGTTAGTGAAACAATTAATGTAAGTGTTAATTAATCAAATAGGTACGTTAGAATTATTTTTCAGTTTCAATTAATGAACAATGCAAATGTACTTTGGTGGGGACAAACCGATTTGTGTGGTTGTAGGAATTTAAGACATCAAAGTTTTACTAGTGAATGGATTGGTGACTATTAATGAAAGAATTAGCTGACTACTAACAAAGATCGAATAATTGGATATATTTTGCAGAAGATTCAATGTATAATTAGGGAGATTCTACGGTCCCGTTAAGGAACCATTCTGTCGGGGTTTGGAACCTTTGGATCAACTATCCACGATGGTTATATGATGATCTAGGACTGTAGCATTTCCCGTATAATTAATCTACTGACAACAAAAAAATTTATGAATGTCACAAAATTCTCAGAAGCACTGAAATAAACATAAGAAAATTACAAGTTTATTGATAATAAGCAGCATGCATCTGTTTCTTTCTGATACAAAATGATGAAATTAGTATAAGTTACTTAAAATCATCACTCAACAAACAACTTTATTCATTTTTTTTTCCATCAATTATTATTAAGAACTCCACATATGAATATGAAATCATGGGAGCTTTGGAAATCTGGAGAAATCGGGTTTTCTACGCTGCAAGTACGCATTCTTTCCCTCCGTACCTTCCTCTGTCCCGTAAAAAAGAAGCGTAGCGTCTCCCCCGATTTGCTAAAAAAATAGTGTATACGAAAAATAAAAATTAAGTCTTTACGAGAAATTAAAGTTGTAAAAATGCATCGAATTAGTGATTTTCGATCTTATAGCTTATTAATTATAGTTGAAAGGCTAGCTTATATAATAAAAGTGTTTGGTAGAGTTAACTGATAATAAACTAACTGAAATAAAAATCTATGATCTTCTTTGAAAAACTACTGAAGAAACTTATGAGATAACCTTGAGCTTTTTAAAAACACTCATCCTAACAAACGGAACTTATCCGAATACATGAATTTTATAAGTTCACCAAATAAGCTATAAGTTAGCTTATTTGGTTACCAAACATAGCATATGAATGAACAAACAAACCTTGTTTAGGTAAAAAAATCAAAAGACAAAAATCTATAGTTTTGGAGTTACCTGAAGTCCGGCATGGCCATCATCGACCGCATTAATGGCCGATTTGCAAAGACGAATAGCCATTGGGCTGTTCCGCAGAATCTCTCTGCACCATTTGATTGTTTCCTCTTCAAGCTTCTCGAGCTATACACAAAAGGGTCGATTCGTACATTCGGTGGATAATTCGGAAAATAAAATGGATTATATTATTAACACAAGTTTAGAAGTAAAAGAAAGAAGCATAAATCGACTGTCTTATATGTCGTAACACGATTATTTTTGCATTTGAAACGTAAAATTGAATTTCACTATATATATATATATATATATATATAGCAATGTTCTTACAGGAACAACGGTGTTGACGAGTCCCATTTTCTCTGCTTCGGCAGCATTGTAAAACCTCGTCATGTACCACATTTCGCGTGCGCGCTTCGGCCCAACCTAAATCGAGCAACAAAAAAAAAAAAGAAAAGAAAATTGATGGGTGAGAAAATACAATTAAAAAATATAAGCAAATTGAAAAAAATCACTCGAGCATAAAATCATACCAAACGAGACATTATCGAAGCTCCATAACCAGCATCAAAGCTTCCAACCTACAATTTCCATTATAAAAAATAAAAAAATAAAAAAAATTAAAACTATTGCATGATTTTCTTGACTAAATTGATATTTTTAACATACATTTTCCAATTTTTCCAACTGAAAAATTATGAAAGTATCATAATTTGGGATTACGCTGTTAACTTACCTTAGGCCCTGTTTGGCCAAACACTGCATTATCAGCTGCAATTGTTAAGTCACAAACCATGTGAAGCACATGTCCACCCCCAACTGCATACCCAGCAACCTGATTTTTTTTTATTTTTTTTTATGTTAATATTTTATTTTGTTAAATTCATTTTCTAATGTGGAAAATAATTCTATAAATTAAATATTATTATGATGAAGATAATTTTTAAAATGATAATTAGAGATTACCATAGCTATCACTGGCTTAGGTAGTCGTCGAATTTGCACCTGCATTGAAATATAAATCATTTGGATTCTCATAATATATAATATATTAATTGTGGCTATTCATTAAAAATGTATATTGTTAATTTACTTAGTTTTTTTTTTAAATTATTTCATGTGAAATTCATTTTAAATGTATATTTACTTGTACACTTTATGTTTATGTTATGAAAATTTAAGATTTTTTTTTTTTTACTATTATAAAATACTAACAAATAATTGGTACTAATTGTAATTTTTTAAATTAAAATGTAATTTACCTGGAGATCTAAAACATTGAGACGTCCAAAATTATCATAATCTACGTAGCCTTCTTTGCCTCTGAGAGATTGATCGCCTCCACTGCAAAAGGCTTGCGTGCCCTGAAGTAACAATGGCAAAATAAATTAAAATGAAATGAAATTATATAAAAAAAAAAAATGTATGAGGGGGGTAATGTGGATATTTTGCCGGGACGGTCATTGACGACCCCTGGCCGAGGCTAGCCGACGCCGGGGAAGGCGAATTTGCCGGAGAAGAGAGGAGCGCGCAGCTGAGAGAAAAGGGGGAAGGTTTCGCGTGGTTTTTTTGCAATTAACATTGTAATGTGGATATTTAAAATATTGAGATTTTAAGAATATTGGTATATTTTAGTTTTGAAATTTTAAAACTTTTAGAAGTAAGGATGTATTTGTTTCGAGATATTACAAAAATAAAAAAATCATTCATACTATATATTTTCTATTAAAATTTATTATGCATCGACTCACATATTTATATTTGTCAATTATTCATAATAATTGTTTTATTATTTTCACGTTACAATTTACATCAACATTAAACTTACATTTCATCTCATTTTTATTCTCAATCGCCCCGGAATTTAGGTCAAAAAAATTGTTATTATTTTACTAAGACAAGACAAATATAATAAGAATTTAAATAACGCCCATCAACGATGAATTATATATCTTGAAATTATTATATTAGTCCAAAATTTGAATTAAGAATATGTAAAAACAGTTGCTATCAAAAGTGTTTGGTTTACTAAATTAATTGAAGCTACAAGTTGACTTCAATTTATTAGAGAGGATTATTATAATAGAATATCTTGTGAATTTCAACAAATTCTTGTTTTGAGTGATCTAATGTTTTATAAATCAATTTGTCATAACTGTAATAGAATAATATACTCATGTTATTAAATGTCATACTTTTTAAAGTATTAACATTTCAATTCAAGGATTACCATTTAAAGTTCTATTTGAATTTCATATAGATATTTTATTTTTTGATCAAAGATTAAAAGTTGACAGTTGAGTTGAGCTTAAGCTTGTAAAAGGATAGACTGGATAAATAAATGAGCTAGAAAGGGAGCTTGAGCTAGGCTCATATATCACTAATAACAAAACGTGTTCCAGCCTTAACGAGCCGATCTCGAGTTGTAACGAGCCCAACTGTAGAAAATTATATAAAAAATCTTTTTTCGAGCCTTAAATGGCTTATCGAGTTAAGTCGAGTTCGGCTTATTAACCAAACCAGTTTTGAATTAGCTCAAGATTGGCTCGTTAGCTCGAGCCGGACTCGAACCAAGCTGAGCCAGAACCGTCTAATTTAACAGCACTAGTTGAGCTCAAATAAATACATACAAAAATTTTATGGAGCCATCAAATGATTCATTTATGGAGTCATCCATAACTTTATGTATTGACAGATGTTCAAAATGTATTTATTGCAGACACCTGTCAATATACTATTTGTGAATAACCATGGATAACACCATAAGTCGAGTCATCCGATGACTATTATAACAGCCTTAACCCAAAACTTAAAAATACTTATAACACAAATATAAAAAATTTTTTTTAAAA